GAGTATTTTTCTAAGTTCTGGGTTCTGCTCTCCTGTGCTGTCACCCTGCACTGAGCCAAATTCATCCTCAGAACCTTGGTCAATCTGGGGGTCTTTCACTTCACTCATGTCTGCTACTTTGCTTCGAGTCAAGGGCATAATCCCCCCTCAGAACAGGCTGCTTTAAAAGTCAAGCCTCAGAATAAAACGACCACTTTTTTCCTTTTTGCCTCAGAACCAGCTCTCCCTAGAGATTGCTGCTGTTCTTCAGCACTAAATTTGCAACAGTATCGAGTCAGAGCCTACCCCCCTCTGCTGGGCCTCTCAGCTGGCAAGCTAGCTCGCTGTTGCTACGCAGTTTTGCCTCAGCGTTTTCCCGCCAAAACTAGGCTGCCTCAGAGCACCTTAATCTAAGTCTCCCCAGTTGGCACGTTCTTCTACTAGCGCACCTCCCCGTGAGGTACACCTAGAAGATTACCTACGCGCCTCAGACTGTCCCTGACTAGACCCCCCTTGCTCTGGGCACACTTGCCAAGGCTTTGCTGGACCGCTGGACAACTGGACCAGTCGTATCCCACCCGCTGGACACCAATCAATGTGACAAACCCAGACCTACTGGGATCTATCACACAGTTACTAAGCTGCCACCAACCATTCCCTATAATAAGTCACACAGACCAGGGATGGATTTTTAAACAACAAAAAGAATAAAGTTTATTTTAAATACACACAGGGAAAAATAAGCAATCAGGTGAATAAAATAAAGTAACGTGGCTTATTCTCACACACACAAGCATACAGTTTGGTTCACCTAGAACCTTTAACTTAAAGCACAGACCCTGAACCCATCAGTTCTGGCTAACCAACAGACCCCTGAACCTTTCAGGTTGGTACTCTGACACACAGTAGTACCCTGTCAGACACCCAGACTCCCACAACAGCCTCTTCTTCCCCAGCTGCTGCTTCGTCCCAACCCAGTGTCTCACAGTCTGTCTCAGCATCCTCCTTCACCACACAGGCATCACATATTTATACAGTACAGCCCCTCCTCCTGATGTCCCGCCTTCCACTCCCCATAGGATGGAACTTTCCCTCCAAACCCATGACAGACAGGTAACATCAGTGCTGTTATGTAACACCAGGCAAGGGTCTACCAAGTCTAAAACTTCATCCAAATCCGGGATGGCGTTTATGCATACATCAAGGAAAAGTAAGATGTTAAAAAACCTTAAAAAGTTAAATTAGCTCACACTGATCTTCACAGAGACAAATCTCCGCCTCCCATCTTAGAGGTGTCTTCCAGAGGAGATTCGAATTTCGAAGGGGATGAGCTGCATATCCCATCGGCTCAGGTTCCCATCCTGCCCGGTAGCCCTCCCCTCTCGACAGGCCATCTGAGGACTTGAATGCTAATCCAGTCTGGCCACGGCCCATTCGAGCCCTATCTCAGGGCGGGCATCTGAAAGCGAGCCATCAGAGATGAACACCCCTCCTCCACGGAAGAGAAAAGAAAAAAGAAAGCACGTTTCGACACTGACTAATTTACCTTAATTGACACAACCTAATCTGCTTCAATCGGGACATTTTCTTCCCTTCACATTTTTTCCAAACTTCCAGCAGTTTGGCATGGAAAATTTCTTTCCGTTCTCAATGCCACTTCAAATGCAGCAATATCCTCAGATGACCCAACTGTGTACAGATCAGCCACCTCCCTCAAAGAAACATCAGCCCCATAAACTGGGCTCTGTTTTGACGTTTACCGCCCCAAGAAAGCGATCAACGTCAGCTTCTCATTCCAAACCTTCTGTTCATTCCAAACACCTGCCTAAGGAAAATTTCTCAGCACCGACCCCGACTGTGACTGTTCAGTTCCCGTCTCACTTCCAGACTATGACACAGAACGAATCTTCATCTGCTCTGTCGTCATCTGACTCTGAACCTGACATGGACTCAGATTCCTCTGAGAAATCACTGGCAAACATCCCAACTCCATTTCCTGATGCCATACATAATCATCCTCCCTTGCCTTTGGAGGATTTTTCTTCCTATTCTAATCTCATTTCCCGCATGGCTGCTGCGTTGAAACTTCTGGTTGAGGAGCCTCCTTCACCTGAGGACATCAATCGAGAAAAATCCCAACCTCTCAGGCTTGCCTTAATCCTATCTTAAATCTCATCAAGGATGCCTGGGACAAACCACCTACTAATCTATAGATGTACAGGCATATGGAAAACATATATCGGACGCATGGTCCAAACATCGAATTCCTGGCAAAGCGTCCTTTACCTAACTCCATCATTGTCGAGTCCAACTTCTCAAAATCCAGGGGCAAATTTTCCGTCTCCCCCACCAACAAAGAGGGCAGGAAGTTGGATGTTCTCGCCCACAGAATTTATTGCTTACAGTCCTTTCTTCTCCATGTCTCCAACTATCAGGTGGCAATGGTTTGTCGTAATCGATCTTCAGGATGCATATTTCCATATTTCAATTCACCTGTCTCATCAGAAGTACCTAAGATTCCTTTTCAACAATTGTGCTTACCAATTCTGTTCCCTTCCATTTGGGCTTTCTATGGCTCCAAGGACTTTTACAAAGTGCATGGCACTGATCGCAGCACATCTTCGTCTACAGGGCATTCACATCTACCCTTATATCGACAATTGGCTCGTAGTTGCTCAATCTCGTCACGCCATGGTAGTAACACAGACAACGTTAAACACCTTCATGGTGGAGTGGATGAACTTTACCTGTTTCTCCCCATTCCTTTGATTCAAAGAATCTTGATCAAAGTCCGTCAGGTTCGCACAAACGCCATTCTGATCGCACCGTGGTGGCCGCGACAGCCATGGTTTACCACTCTCAAGTTAATGGCATCGGAGTTCATCAAGCTTCCAAAGTGGTCACATCTATTAACACAGAATGCAGGCAGGATTTGTCACCTGGACGTGGACTCTCCACATTACGGCGTGGAGGATTCTCCCATGATTAAAGAAGTGTTGGAGAAAGCCAGGAAACCATCCACAAAGCTTTTATACAAATGGAATAGCTTCCTAAGATTTACAAGATCAAGAAACATGTCCTGTGCCTGTATCTATTGATACTCTCCTCTAATACTTAAGTTACCTCTTTGACCAAAATTTAGTGTTTTCTACCCTCAAGGTTTACATTTCAGCTATTATTTCTTACCAACCACTGGGTTCAGATTCCTCCCGTTTGTTTTCGCACCCTACGTTGAAAATGTTTTTAAAAGGTTTACAGCATATTTGTCCACCTATCCGTCCTCCTCCTCCTCCTCAATGGTCTCTGAGTGTTGTCTTGCACGCTCTTTCATGATCACCATTTGAGCCTATGGCCTCTTCTGATCTAAGGCTCTTATCATTTAAGATATTTTTGGTTGCAATAATCTCTGCCAGACGGGCTGGTGAGCTTGCTGCACTTCAAGTTGACACACCTTACCTTCAATTTTAGCCGGATAAAGTGATCCTGTACCCAGATGTCTCATTTCTTCCTAGTTATCTCAAGTTTTCATGTTAATCAGCTGTTAATTCTTCCCACATTATTCCCTAACCCTTCTTCAGATATTGAGTGCATGCTCCATTCTTTAAATGTTCGCCGTGTGTTGGCTTTTTATACATCTAGAACTAAAGACTTCCGTACTTCGTCCAGATTGTTTCTTTGCTTCCATGGTCCTAATAAAGGTTCTGCTGCAGCTTCGCAAACAATTTCACAATGGATTGTCTCCACAATTACTTTGGCTTACAAACTATTGGTTAAGACCCCGCCAGGCGCTCTTAAGGCACATTCCACCAGATGTGTGGTGACCTCAATGGCCTTAATGTGAGGCATTGATGTTTCAGACATCTGCAGAGCAGCTACATGGCCTACTCCATCCACCTTTGTAACTCATTATTGCCTGGATCTTAGAGCCAAGAAGGAAGCTAATTTTGGGAGAGCTGTCCTTACTTCGGTGACGGCCTGCCTTCTGGTAAGTGAGCTAGTCAGTCATCCAGTTGTGTGGATTCACAGAGGCCAAGTAGAAGAAAGAGTGGTTACTTACCTGTAACTATGGTTCTTCTAGTGGTCCTCTGTGAATCCACACATCCCGCCCAGCCTCCCCACTATCCAGCACTCTTGGTTTTCACTCTAAAGCGGTAACAACAGCAGACAAGTGGAACGGAGGCTGTAGGCGGGTGGAGCATGTGCAATAGGGGCAACATACTACTATGTTTCTTTTCATTTTAAGCTCTAGAATATTCCAAGGATCCAGCGCAAGTGCAGTTTATACCCAGTTGTGTGGATTCACAGATTACCACTAGAAGAACCATAGTTACAAGTAAGTAACCACTCGTTTTATGTCATGCAATGATCTGTATATTTAGACATTTCACAGGTGGATTCTTGATGCCAGGACTTGCTTTAAAGATAAACACTGTGAAACAGAGTATTAAGTATAGTTGCCACATTGTGGGATGATTTTGCAATGCATCTTGCTTCATGATAATGATGCTGAAATGCACATGAGATTTAAAACATGTTGGTTATGATCTGAAAGACTATGAAGACTTTCAGTGATGCCCTGGGGTTGATTGCAGTCCCAGATGTTAGGATTGTTTGCATAACAGAACAAGGTTCTGAAAGCTAGGACAGCCTTTTGGTGCACCTTCTGATTTACAGCACAGGGAACGGAGGTAATCTTAGGTTCTAACAGAATTGTCTGGATATGTGAAAGGTGATTTTCAGTTCTTGTTTGCTGCCCATTGGAAAAAAAATTATCTCTTTTCACACTGACTTCGACAGGTGAAGCAGGAAAGCCCATTTTCAGCTAGTGTTAAATAGATCTTACCTCTTCCATTAGTGTAGATTTTCCCTGTATCGATAAGCCTCCTCTTAATAATAATACTTAGTAAGTCTTCCATACGCTTTTGTCTTTGGTTTATTTATTGGACATCTGGGACACAGTATTCTGTTAAAATACAGTATCTTGCAAACATTCTATTTGCACAGTCTGATAGTTGCTTTTTCTGCAAGAACAAAATCCTAAAGTTGACCTAAAAACAGTTTGATGAAAATCAATTATATTTAAAATGCATACCAATGCCATATTGGACCGTCACAAGCTTTTGGATGCATAACAAATGAGAAAGAAATTTAATAGAGGAAACATTTTCCATACCATGATTTTATGTCTGAGGCAGGAGCTTTTCGTAAGCTGACATTCCTCAAACATCTATACTGTAGCTTTGAACTTTGGCTTGCCGAATGATCTTCTGACATTGGCATTATGTGGGCAGCAAAAACTGTTCACTGTTGCCATTATCAAGTTAGCATTTTTCATCTTCCCCAAGTGGTAAATGTCTTACATTGCTTAGGAAAGTGTTTATGGAATTCCTTTCCCAGCATAAATCCCAATTAAATTGCTGCATTCTCTTTAAAATAGTTATCTTTCAATTGCAGTTGGTGTGGACAGGACTAGGGGAAAAGAAGGGTAAACGATCTTCATGCATTGTAGATTGAGTAGGTTTTTTGAATTTAGGTTTCAGAGAAAAGCAGCTGATTATCTGTTGCAGTAAAAGCTACTAAATTGCTAAATTTTATGCTGCTTTGCAAATAAACTTCCTCTGGCATCAGCTCTTCCAGATAAAAACTACATGGTTTGATGAATGAATAATACATGCACATTTGAGTGCAGAGTTGTGTTAAGATTAGCTAAAAGTTAAAGAGCTAAAAGACAGCAATAGTTTTAGTATACAGAGCACAAGGAACATAAGATTCCTTTTGACACCAGAGGGCGTCTGTGTGCTATAAGATCTCAGCACCTCCTAGCTGTGTGTACTTCTTCCTGCTATATGGTACTAGAAGGCTGTAAATGTAAACACCAGTGGTATGCCAATATAGAACATCTAACTGACAAGAGCCAGAGAGTTCCAGAAAAATATCTCCTTCTGCTTCATTGACTACGCAAAAGCCATTGACTGTGTGGACCACAGCAAACTATGGCAAGTCCTTAAAGAAATGGGAGTGCCTGACCACCTTATCTATCTCCTGAGAAATCTATACGTGGGATAGGAAGCAACAGTTAGAACTGGTTATTGAACAACTGATTGGTTCAAAATTGGGAAAGGAGTACGACAAGGCTGTATATTGTCTCCCTGCTTATTTAACTTATATGCAGATTACATCATGCGAAAGGCTGGACTGGATGAATCCCAAACCAGAATTAAGATTGCCGGAAGAAATATCAATAACCTCCAATATGCAGATGATACCACTCTGATGGCAGAAAGTGAGGAGGAATGAAACAACCTCTTAATGAGGGTGAAAGAGGAGAGCGCAAAAAACGGTCTGAAGGCCAACATCAAAAAAACTAGGATCATGGCCACTGGTCCCATCACCTCCTGGGAAATAGAAGGGTAAGATATGGAGCCAGTGACAGATTTTACTTTCTTGGGCTCCATGATCACTGCAGATGGTGACAGTAGCCACGAAATTAAAAGACGCCTGCTTCTGGGGAGGAAAGCGATGACAAACCTAGAGAGCATCTTAAAAAGCAGATACATCACCTTGCCGACAAAGGTCTGCATAGTCAAAGCTATGATTTTCCCAGTAGCAATGTATGGAAGTGAGAGCTGGACCATAAAGAAGGCTGACCGCCGAGGAATTGATGCTTTTGAATTGTGGCTCTGGAAGAGGCTCTTGAGAGTCCCCTGGACTGCAAGAACAAACCTATCCATTTTGAAGGAAATCAACCCTGAGTGCTCACTGGAAGGACAGATCCTGAAGCTGAGGCTCCAATACTTTGGCCATCTCATGAGAAGAGAAGACTCCCTGGAAAAGACCCTAATGTTGGGAAAGTGTGAGGACAAGAAGAGAAGGGGACAACAAAGGACGAGATGGTTGGACAGTGTCATCAAAGCTACCAACATGAATTTGACCCAACTCCGGGAGGCAGTGGAAGACAGGAGGGCCTGGCGTGCTCTGGTCCATGGGGTCATGAAGAGTCAGACACGACTTAATGACTAAACAACAACTCTGACAAAACAATAGCAGTTGCAGTGTTGAATGTATGTATATACTGAAATGTTGACATTATGAGGCATCTTGTGTTTAAGCATCTCCATGTATTGAAATACAGTATGTGAAGAGATTCTTAAGAATTCTGGCCTGAATTGATGGGAAGACCTTTTGGGGCAGGGATTGGAAAAGCTACAGTAGTGTTCTCCCAAATATAAGAAGAAAAAATAATTACACCTGACTTGAACATTATAAGCCTTGCTGTTATCTTTCTCTCCCCCCCCTCCAAACAGAATTCTAAGTGATGTTTTTATAGCTGCTTGCTACATCTGCAAAAACATGTAAGGCTCAAGGAAAATGTGATTTGAAATGGCAGAATGTCATTGTCACTGTATTTCTACTGATCTTCATGCCTTCAGTTATTCATGATGGACCTAGCAAGTTTTTTGTTGTTGTATTACAACTCACCTGCTGTTGCTGTTGAACTCAGCAAGGAGTAGCAGAAATGAGAATATGGAAAGCTGGGGAAATAACTGGGAAGGGAAGAGTTAAAATGGTAAAGAATAGTTGCTATGTAGTACAGAAAGATCTGCAGGTTCTGGAATGCAACTGGATCGATGGTAATGTTTTAGGGAGAACTGTGAGATGTCATGCAGATGGTGAAGAAGGATTTAAGAACCTTTTAAAATCTACTAATATAGAATTATAACCAAAAATTCTGCCTGTTGTTAACATAGTAGTGTTGCCCTTCAGCTAGTAAATGATACAGAAGTGCCTCAGAAGGTATTTTATTTATTTATTTATTTAACTTATATGCTGCCCACTCTACCCAAAGGTCTCTGGGCAGCTTACAACAATTAAAATACAATTTTCAAGGGATCTCTTTCCTGTTACATCTTAGAAGCATAATGTCCTCTGAAAAACGATACTAGCTGGTTCGAAGTAAGGAAAGGTATAGTTCCTTTGCAAATATAATTTAATTGTTTAAACTATGTTTTACTGGAGAGCTTCAAGGGCATATTTGGAATGTTTTGATTCTGAATAGCTGATGCTCTTTTCGCATAGTTAGATCTTTATATTCTTTTATGGTTACCAATAAATACTTGGATGTAATTAATAAAATATAAGTTTTTCTTCAGTTTTTTACTCAGCCACAATCTTAATGTTACATGGTAATGTTACTTGCCTCAATTCTCCCGGTGTGTAGTCTGTCACTACGTAGGCCATGCCAAAAATACAAAACCATCCTTCTGCTTCCCTGATGAAAATTCTGGATCAAGTTCTAGTAATATCCTCCCTTAGCTATTTTAGCTAACACCCTCTTTAAATGTCTGGCTATTGCTGGTTCTCTTAACCTCTTAACTATTTTGATTCTGCTAACAAAATAATTTATTCTTTGTATATTTGAGCATGTGACATCTATTTTTAAATCCATGTACTAGTTTCCTGTGCACTGTCAAATGAAACTCAGTTGGAAGGCAAACATCTTCACCCAGTCACAATTATCTCAGCCTTATGGCCTTCACTCTTCCTGATCATAGAAGTGCTCTTCCTGTAATAATTCTGTTTTATGGTTTGCTACTCTTTTACTATAGAAAGTCAACAACCATACTCCTGCCTTTATTCCTTGGAATCTCTTCTCAGAACTTGCCTTCTTGGTAAAGGATTGAGCCTAACACAATTCATAGTCTAGTGCAGGGGTAAGCAACATAAGCACATCCAGGGGCCAGTTTTCTGTCCTTTGGAACCTTCAGGGGCCACAAAGACTGCCAAAAAATGCAAAACAAGCAAACCATTAGAAAAAAAAGTGGCTGGAAATCCACATTCTGTTTTGAAAACCGGGAAGGGTCTGTGACCTATTTTAAAGGTGAGCTGTTGGTCTTTGAGGCTTCCAGGAAGTAAAGTTCACTCTTTTTTCTGAAAAGAAAAGGTTGAGAAAGACTGAGGGGCCACAAAAACTGCAATTTGTCTCCCCCTGCTCTGCTAGAACAAACAGATGAACTCATAACCATTTGTGCTGGTTCCCTGGGTATTTTATTTATTAAACCGGCACATGTCTTTGAAGTTTGAGTGAAAGACTTACAACAAGTTGCTGTCTTGGTTAGCAAAGCAGCAGCATTTTCTCTCCAGTTCAGATTTCTGAGTACCCTATTGGAGAGTGCATTAGAACATGTTTTTGTACCACCCATCATGGTATGCTTATGGATTACCTCTCTGGGATGGAAGTTGAAGGCACTGTTTTGTGGTGGCTCTGGTCTTTCCTGGAGGGGTTTATCCTAGAGGATTGGCCAGTGGAGTCACTCAAGGATCACCTCTGCCTCTCCTCCCCCCAACCATGCCACTTAATACCTACATGAAAATGCTAGCAGAACTTTTCTGGAGTTTGGGGTTTTGGTGACACCAATATGTTGATACTGTCTGACTCTTGTTTTAAACTTCAACAAGGTTTGTTTGTTTTTTGGTTCTTTTTTGGCTACTCACAGTCTCTTTCATGGTATGCACGATTAGCCTCATTTTTCTTCTCTTGCTGGCCCACAAAGACTTTTGTCTTTAGTTACTTTTTTTGGCCACTGAGGTTATACATTAACACATGATGTATGCATAACTTTATTTGAAGTTTTTGTTGTTTGCATTCTTTTAAGTTAATGGCCTTTTAATATGCTGTGCTTTATGCCATTTGTAATGTTTTAATGTATGTGTCTCTCATTGTAGTGTTTCCCTCTCTGGTTTAGGCATCCGGCTGCAGAGCCACAGGTTGGGAGTTCAATTCCCCGCTGTGCCTCCTTGACAGGGAGTGGACTAAATGACCCATAAGGTCCCTTCCAGCTCTGCAGTTCTACAATGATGATGGTTTTGATATTGTCCTCACCTACCATTTTGTAGGCTGCCTGTCTCTGTGAATCGGGAGAAAGGTGGGGTATATGAAGGAAAGTAACTGCTTATTCCCAATTTGTTTCTTTTTGTAATATATAAGTAGGAGTGATGAACAAGCAGTTTGAGGGGTTGCAGAATTTTAGTCCAGCATTCTAAAATTAAAATGGGCTTTTAATATAGAAAAAGTGGAAGTAACTTCTTGTGACAGCCCAGGCAGAGTACATCACAAATAGCTGTTCTAGGTTTTTCAGGCTGTTTGGCCATGTTCTGGAGGTTTTCCTTCCTAAAGTTTCGCCAGTTTCTGTGGCTGGCATCTTCAGAGGACAGGAGTTAGAACTCTGTGTTCTGGTGTAGTGTATGGAATAGTTGAGTATTTGTAACTGTGGGGTCAGCTTTCTGTTCTTTTCAGGAGATTGGGTGATTATGGTGATCATAAGAAATAGAGGGCCAAAACCACCACTTAGATGTTGTGGTCATATGCAAACCTGACATCCTATTGGGATACAAGGTCTACAGAAAACCTACTCACACAGCTGGTACCTACAGAAAAACTCCAACCACCACCCACGACAAAAAAGAGGCATAATCAAAACACTGCTAGACCATGCGAAACGGAACAGTGAAGCTCAATTTCTCAGCACCAACCTCAGCTATCTGAATGGCTATTGCAAGAATAAAATCACAAAAGCCATCAAACTGAGAAAACAACACCAAACTGAAGAAGAAAAACAGTCACCCACAAAAAGTATTTCTGCCATGCATCAAAGGGGTCATGGACCGCATGGGGAAAGCTTTGAAAAAACACAACCTACAAACAATATTCAGGCTCACCACAAAAATATAACATGTTATGGTCAACAAAGGACAAAAGGGGCCTCTGCACCACTGCAGTATACTGGATACCTTGCAGTTGTGGCCAAGTATATATTGGGACCACAAAACACAACATCCACACCAGAATCAAAGAACATGAAAGACACTGCAAGACCAAAACAACCGGAAAAAAAATCAGCAGTAGCTGAACATGCCCCCAAAACAACCGGGGGAAAAAAAATCAGTAGCTGAACATGACCTGAAACAAGCTAGACATGAAATTCTATTTCAAAACACAGAAGTACTGGACAACACCAGTAATCTGTATGTTAGACTGCACAGGGAAGCCATTGAAATCCATAAACACCAGCAGAGCTTCAACAAAAATAAGAAAGTCTAAAACTCAACAAAGCCTGTTCTTAACACTGAAAATTACAGCCTGCAAAAAGGTCAACAAACTCTACCCAGCCACAAGGACCAATGATCACTGCACACAAAAGACTAGCTAACGACACCTATCAATCACAGAGACATATCATTTCCCCCCTTATCACAATACACTCATAACAAAAAACACCCTGATCACCATAATCAACCAATCTCCTGAAAAGGACAGAAAACTGATACCACAGCTACAGATACTCAACTGTCCCACACACTACACCAGAACACAGACAGAGTTCAGTCCTCTGAAGATGCCAGCCACAGAGACTGTCAAAACATTAGGAAGAAAAACCTCCAGAAAATGGCCAAACAGCCTGAAAAAACTACAACAACCATTGGCTCCCAGCCGTGAAAGCCTTTAAAAATACATCACAAATACATGGAATAACCAGGTGTGTGCCTGTTGCCTTCTCAAAAACTCATCATCATAGGCATCCTTCAGTCTCGAGAGACTATGGTAATGTGCTCTGTATGGAGGACTTCGACGCTATATGCGAAGCTGGAGTGTCCTCTCCAGAGCACGAAGCCTAAGTAAAATAATATGGAGGATAGGCTGGTACCCAAGCAGCAAATCCCCCCTCTCCACATTGCTGATATAGTCCAGTGGAAAGGCAAGAGCCAATACAACTGGCTCGAGTGATGTCACAGGAGTTGCCAGAATGACACAAACTGCCTCCAGGACTCCGGCTCTGGATTTTGCCTCGAGGTTAACTCCTGAAACTTTTTACATGAGTGGATATAGCCACAAGGCAGTAGAGGTTTGGAATCAGAGTTTTCCTTCTCCTAGATGGGCTGCCTTCCAAGGCGGACGAGCTCCACCTACTCAGCCTGCTCCCTTGCCACATCGGTGATGGCGGCACCTCCTCCTCCTCACGGCATGGGGGTTTGGGATCGGAGTTTTCCTTCTCCTAGGTGGGCTGCCTTCCTGGGCTAACGAGCCCTACCTACGTTGGTTTTATTTATTACATCTATAATTCTCTTATTAGCTCAAGATATATTTAGCTTTCTTTCTTCTTCTCACATCCCTGTGAGGTGACGCAGGCTGAAGGTGTTGCCAGGATTATCCAGTGCAATAGCCCACTGAGGGTTTAAAGGAAAGCCTGAATCCTAATCCAGCAATAACACTGCTGCACCACACGACCTGAGTATAATCTACAGCCTCCCTTATTGCCGTGCTAGTCACACTCATCTGGGACTAAGTCCTGATGGAATAAGAAGTCCTCTAGTGAAAACCGTGTCATGTACTGTCTGTACTTCAGCTTTATTTTGGTTATTGAGAACCCTGTCAATTTCTAGCCCCTGTAGGCTATAAACCTGCATTATGGAAGTACCACAAATGGAAAAATGGTTTAGTGTTGTGTGGAGAGGCTGTGTTTTGAAGATGAATCACATAGTAGCAGAGATATTTCAGTTCTATAGTAGTTTGTTTCTGTTTGCTGTTCACATACACGTGGGGGGAGTGTATTGCTTTTTTTCCGCGTCCCTTAAAGCAAGAAAAATTCGGATCGCATTGCAGAGGAGTGGCAGGGATTCCCGTGGCATCCTGAAGAGCCAACAAAGGCATGTTGCGTTAAGGCGTCTCTTGTAATTGCATCCGTTTTCTTCTGGCAGAAGTTGAGAGGGCTGGCTTTCCCGTGAGTCAGCCTCTGTGGGAAGCACAGGCCAGAGGGGGCGCCAAGTCTCCATCCTGCGCCGGCCGCTGTCATTTAAAAAGTGCTCTTCCTTCAACCGGGAGCGAGGCGGCGGCGGCGGACTCGGGCTGAGTTTTGAGGAGAGAAAACGGCCAGCTCGCGGAGAGAAGCCCTTTGTTCCTCGGCGCGGAGCTCGCCCGAAAGGAGAGGCACAAGAGGCCTGTGGCGAGAGGCGGGGAAAAGGGCCGGCATGCGCGGAGTTCCCGCCCTCCGTCCCTGAGGCAGGCAGGCGGGCGGGCGGGCGAGCGCGCAGCTGGGCGAACGTGCCTCCTCCGTCTCCCGCTCCCTCCCTCTCTCCCTCCCTCCTCCACTCCTCCTCCTCTTCCTCCTCCTGCTCGCCCTTGGCCGCACCGCCGCTGGCCCCGGGAGCGCCCGACGGACAGAGCCTGGGTCCCGGCGGGGAGGCTGCGGCGGCCCCTTTCCGCCGATCCTCCGCCCTTTCGATCATCATCCCCCCCCCTTCTAGCCAGCCACGTCTCCCGCTCCCTCCCTCTCTCCCTCCCTCCTCCACTCCTCCTCCTCTTCCTCCTCCTGCTCGCCCTTGGCCGCACCGCCGCTGGCCCCGGGAGCGCCCGACGGACAGAGCCTGGGTCCCGGCGGGGAGGCTGCGGCGGCCCCTTTCCGCCGATCCTCCGCCCTTTCGATCATCATCCCCCCCCCTTCTAGCCAGCCAGCCACCCTCTCCTCTCCCCTNAGAGCGGCTGCAAGCCGGTGAAGGAAGGCGTGCTGGAGAAGCGCAGCGACGGCTTGCTGCAGCTGTGGAAGAAGAAGCGCTGCATCCTGACCGAGGAAGGGCTCCTGCTTGTCCCACCCAAGCAGCAGCAGCAGCAGGAGCCCGTGACGGCGGCGTCGGTCGCGGCGTCGACCACCAGCACCACCACCACCGCGGCGGCGGCGGCGGCGTCTTCTTCCCCGAGCGCGGAGCCCCCGGTGGCGTCGTCGGCCAAGATCAAGGAGCTGCCCTTCTCCACCATGAAGACGGTGGACTGCGTGGAGCGGAAGGGCAAGTACGTGTACTTCACGGTGGTGATGTCCGAGGGCAAGGAGATCGACTTTCGGTGCCCGCAGGAGCAGGGCTGGAACGCCGAGATCACGCTCCAGCTGGTGCAGTACAAGAACCGCCAGGCCATCCTGGCCGTCAAGTCCACCCGGCAGAAGCAGCAGCACCTCGTCCAGCAGCACGGGCCCCGCCTCCGCAGCGCCTCCAACTCCGCCTAGCCGGGCCCCGCG